CTCCCCCTGGAGCCACGAAACGTGTGAGGGGTGTGCCGACATGGGCGGCGGGGGCACATGGAGGCGGAGGCACTGGGACCGTCGGTGGTGCTCCCTATGGGGCCACGAAGCGTGTGAGCGGTGTGCCGAAATGGACGGCGGGGACGCATGCGGGCGGTGGCATTGGGACCTTCGGTGGGGCTCCCTCTGGGGCCACGACGCTTGTGAGGGGTGTGCCAACATTCGTGGCGATGACGGCGATGATGATGACGATGATGATGGCGATGCTGATGACGATGATGGTGATTGTGATGGTGGTGGTGATGGTGATGATGATGAAGATGAATATGAACATGAACATGATGATGCTGCTGCTCCTGCTGCTGATGATCATGATGATGACGATGATCCTGATGATGATGATGCTGCTGCTGTTGCTCCTAATGATGACTAGGAGGCTGCTGCGGACGATGATTATGATGATACTGCTGATGATGTTGATGATGCTGATGATGATGCTGCTGATGATGATGCGAATGATGACGGTGATGATGATGCTGATGATGATGATGATGCTGATGATGCTGATGGTGACGATGATGGCGATGGTGATGGTGATGATGCTGATGATGATGATGATGATGATGATGATGAGGAGGAGGAGGAGGAGGAGGAGGTGGAGGAGGAGGAGTATGATGATGACAAGTGTAATGGTGACGATGGCGACGACGACGGTGATGACGATGATGCTGTTGCTGATGATGATGATGATGATGATGATGATGATGATGATGATGCTGATACTTTTTGTACTCGGCATCAGGACCAAAAGAGCCTGCACAGCGTTAAAGAAAAATACATGATGGTCCGCCGCAGAGAGCCGAATATCTCGTTAGTCCCCGCTTTTGGTGCCACGTCTTGAGGGTGCTGACAGGGGGGCTGCGTCGCGCTGCCACGAGACGCTTCGAGGAGGCATTTATTCGTCAAACGAAAAAGCTGCGGCCTCGTCTTCTGCTGCTGTATCGAGCTGATCGTGTCGGCCTTCGGGCCGTTCGAGATCGGGTGACCCCGAGTCGGCAGAGTCTGGCTGTGCCAGCCCTGCCGACCCCGAGTCTGCTGGCTCAGACAAGAAGACAGAAAAAGCTGAGACTAGCGGCGCACGCCCTGCGGCATGCTCCAGCTCTGAGTCTTCCAGGACTGGCGGCGCACGCCCTGCGGCATGCTCCAGCTCTGAGTCTTCTGAGGCTGGCTGCGCACGTCCTGCCGACCCCGAGTCGGCAGCTGCTGGGGGGTCTGGCCTGGAAGCGACGACAGAAGCTGCTGAGGCTGGCGGCGCGCGCCCGTCGGCACGCTCCTTCTCTGAGTCTTCTGAGACTGGCGGCGCGCGCCTTGTGGCATGCTCCTGCTCTGAGTCTTCTGAGGGCGGGCGCTGGTGTTGTACCTGTACGCCGCGGCGGCTGGCAGGGAGCGGGGGTCCCCCAATTGAAACTACTGCTCGAGTGTCTCCAGCCAGTGCGCCACCTCTTCCTGGAGCCATCCCGCTGGCGCCACCCCACGGTGTTGCTGCGCCGCGCCCTCGGCGGCCAACGCCTTCATGATTAGCTTGCGGCCTGGCCACTCTGGGGCCCCCACGATCAGCTTGGTTACGCGCTTGACTAGTTTCGTCGCTCAGGTGAGCCTGCCCGGTCATTTGGCCGCTCACTTGGCCGCTGCAGCAGCAGGAGGAGGAGCTCCCTCCTCCCGAGGGAAGCGGTGTGCCGAGGCTCTGCTCGCCGCATTCTTGCACCCTGGGGCCGCTCCAGATGCCTGCCAGAGACGGCTCGGGATGGAGAGCTGTTTTCCCCCCCAAGAGTTCCCAACATCCGCCGACGACGGCGGCGACGGCGGCGGCGGCGTCGACGGCGACGGCGACGGCGACGGCGACGGCGACGGCGACGGCGGCGGCGACGGAGGCGGCGACGGGGGCGGAGACGGCGACGGCGACGGCGACGGCGACGGCGACGACGACGACGCGGACGACGACGATGCCATCGCTATAGTTTCTTTTCGTCGCTCAGGTGAGCCTCCCCGCCTGGCGCCAAGCCGCGCCAGAGGCGGCGCCGGGCGCCCGCGGGGCAGCGCCCTGGCGGTGGGCGTCGGACGGGGCCGCCCGCAGACCGGCCCTCGCCCAGGCCGGCCCGGCGCAGGCTGCGCGCGAGCCCGTGGCTGCAGCCGCGCCGGGCCTGCTCGCAGAACGCATCTCTGCAGGTTCATGGGGCCAACGATCAGGGGGGGATCGGCTCAGGAGGTGGTCGGTCGAGGTTCGAGGTCTTCGGGCGCTGTCGTCCCAAGCCCCTGCAAACGGGGTGTTTGTGACCGGGGTGGTGGCTGAGGGTGCGGTTTCAACTGTGCCTTGGAAGATAATGGATTTGCCGCGCAAAGTGCGAGGTAGTCCCCCCCGCCCAGAGTTATGATGATGTGTCGTCGAGTTCGTCGTCCCGATTTATCACGCACTAGTGCGAGATAATGCCCTGTCACCCTGTACTCGCTCGTAGAGGCCCCTTAGCTACCACCCCGTTCACTAACACCCCGTTTGCGGGGGCTTGGTCGTCGATTCTCGTCGGTTGTCCAGCCTCGGGATGCTCTCCAGCAGCAGTGCCCCGCCGAGAGCGCTCCAGGGATGCCCGGATCGTCCCGAACGGCGTCAGAGGGCCGGGTTAGACCCCGAGAACCATTCGGGCCCGGGATGGGCATACGGGGAGGATGCGTGGACCCCCAATAGATTATCCATCGCCGATAAGGGCCCGACAGCCCCACCCCGCCCAGGGAGGTGCGGATGTGCCATCGGGGTCCTATCGCCGATCTGTCGACGATGCATCGCCGATTCCAAGTCGATTTTCCCTCCCTGAGCCCGACCCCCCTCCGTAGCATTTCCCCTCACCAGGCGCCGTGGCTGTGGGGAGTGAAGTTGGCATCGTTTCGTTTCCGTTTTCGTGTGCACCCGCATCGTTTGAACCGTTTCGTTACCAACGTTCGGATGCGTTCTCGTTTTCGCTCCAAGCGCCAACACGTTTTTATACATCGTTGTGTTCGGTTCTTGCCTTTTTCTTCCCGTTGGGTCCCGCGTGGGGGCCTCCTGGGAGCATCCCGGAGGGAGGGCGCGGAGCGGGAGCGCCGTGACGAGGGCGAGGCCTGAGAGGCGGGGTGCCTCTGCAGGGCCACGGCGGAAGTGTGCCCCCGCTTCTGCCCCCTCCCCATGATGCCTATCTTTTCCTCCTCCTCCTCCTCCGCCTTCTCCTCCTCCTCCGCCTCCTCCGCCCCTCCTCCTTCGCCTCCTCCTCCTCCTCCTCCTCCTGTGCCTATCCCTCCCTTTCGTTGCCCCTCGCAGGTGTGCAGAGCGCGCGCGAGCCTCGGGCGGCGCCCGCAGCGCTGGGCGGCGCGCCCCTCGGCGCCCGGCATGAGGTGCAGCGGAGGGCCGTTCGAGGCACCAGCAGCTGGCCTGCGGGGGGCCCCCTCGTCGCCACGGCTGGGCGCAGCTCGGAAGACTGGTGCGCTCGGCCCCCGGGGATGGCTCTGGGGACTGACTCTTGAGTCGACGGTGAGCTGCCAGTGTCTCACCTCGCCCTTCTCCGAGAGCCACCGAGCGCGTTCCACTGCTCGCAAAGCGCCTACGCGCAGACGTGCGAACAAACACGTCTGTCTGCATCGACGTGACGGATCGTAATCGAGCCCCCAGTGCGGAGCCAGGCCATCTGCGAGCAGTTTCTCTGCGAGCAGTGGAACGCGCTCGTCTGGAGAGGTGCGCGCGGCCGAGCTGCGGCACTCCACGCCGCCCAGGAGGTCCGCGCGCGGGCCCGCCCGACCAGCCCGCGCCTCCGCGGCCGAGGGGCAGGGGCGAAGAGGCGCCGCCGTCTGCGCTCCACCGCCCTGGCCGAGGCCGTCGGCGTGAGCCCCGAGGTCCACCGGCCACTTCGACCGAGTTTGCGCACGCGTCCTCTGCAGACGCTGTTCTATAGGCCTCCCAGCTGGGGTCGGAGCAGATGGGGTCGGGGGATCACGCCGCATCGCCGATGCGTCGGCGATGCGGCTCGATGTGGAGCCCGAGTTGCTTCACGTCGACACCGCCGTTGCATCGCCGACGTCGTCGATGCATCGCCGAAGCATCGCCGATGCATCGGCGATGCGCTGGCGATGTGGCGCGATCCTTCGACCTTATCTACTCGGACCCCATCCAGGAGGCCTCTGGCTATGTTCCGTGGGAGGAAAAACCACCCGGACCGGACAATTGATTTCTTCTTCGGGTGCGTTTACTAATCGGCTTCGCGTGCCGGGGTGGATCTCATCGGGGTGGATTTTTTGCCCTCTCATGCTACTGCCCGGTCCGCGCGCCCGCATTGCGTGGGTCCTCGAATCGGCGCCTCCGCGCCGCGTGCTCCGCACCTCTGGGGCTGCCAGGCCCTTCCCCGGCCGTCGCCCTCACCGCCGCGGGCGGAGGTGCGCCCAGAGCGTTGGCGCGCCATGCCCTGCCCGGTGGCACTGCCCTGGTCTCCAATGCTCCTGCCGCAGGAGAACAGGAGAAGGAGGGAGGAGGACGGAAGAGGAGGAGAAGGAGGAGAGGAGGAGGAGGAGGAGGAGGAGGAGGAGCAGGAGGAAGGAGGAGGAGGAGGAGGAGGGAGGAGGAGGAGGAGGAGGGAGGAGGAGGAGGACGCTTGGGATCTTCGTGGGCCTGTCTCCGGCGGTCGACGTTCGATCCCAAATCCCCTGCCGCCGCCCCGGCCCCCCCCCTCTCCCCCTCTGGGCGCCGGCGGCGGCGGGGCACGGACCGAAAGGCCCGCAGCTCCCGAGCCCAGCGTTTTTGGATCGCCGCCGCTCGGGCCCCTCGTGGGTCCGGGGCGTGGGGCAGGGGCGCGAAGCACAGGGGCGAGGGAGGGAAGGGGATGTCGTCTGCGCCGACATGGGCGCGCAGGCTGCCAGCGCAAGCTGCCCGCGCTCGGCGCCCTCCCTTTCTAGCGAGGCGTGACGCGCGGGCGGCCCGCGTACAGGCGAGCCGAACGGTAAGGGTAAGTCGAGCGTGTCCCTGCACCGAAGGAATATTCATAATTAGTCAAACGCTAGTATGGGGACGATTTCTTGGTTTTTGAGGAATTGTATGGTATTGCTTGACTATTCTTCATCTTTCTTCCAAAATCCGCCTGTAGGGGGACGCGCCCGACCTAATGGTAAGGATGGGCAGCCTTCCCCAGGGTACTCCGAGTTTCCTAATAAGCGTCGGGGGGGCGTGGACAGCCCCACATCGACCCCCGTCGCAGGCAGCCACCGCGCGCCGGTCGCGCTCGAGCCCCCATCGCGGCGCGACGACGAGGCGAGGCTGACCCCCTTCGGAGGGATGCCCCCCCACGCTCATTTGAGAAACCCAGGGGCAGCCTTGCATCCTAGCCTCCTCGGTCTGTCCTGGGCCACTTCTTCTTCGGCCGCGCCCCGCTCGAGAAGCTTCGGACTGGGCGTCCAAGGCCCTTGCATCCTTCATCTCGGGCGATCGCAAACATGGATCAAAGGGGCGTGAATTAGCGACGGGTCCCGTTCCCATGGGAACTCGCGGATTTCCGCCGCCGAGCGCGGCCGGCCGCATTTTGGGGAGGACACCTGCCCCGATCCATAGATTTGGCGACCGCGCGCCAGATCCACGGATCGCGCCGTGGCGCTCGGGCCGTGGCGCCGTGGGCGCGAGCAGGGGCACGGATCGAGTGTCGAGTCGGGTCTGTCCCTCTACAGGAGGGGTGTTCGAATATAGTCAAAAAATAGTATGGGGACGATTTGTTTGTAATGTTTAAGAATATGTTTTGACTAGTTTGAAGTTCCCCAGCAAAATCCGCATGTAGGAGGACATGCCCTTCCTAAATCGAGTGCCGATCGTCGGCGGGGAGCCTTGGGGGGGAGGTGAGAAGGAGAAGGCCTCCTCAGAAGGCTCGGAAGCCCCCCGGCCTCCTGAGAAGTGCTCTGAGCCCTCCCTGGAGGCACAGAAAACTTTTCTCAGCAGGCGCAAGGGGCCTCTGAGATGCCCCGCCGCCCTCTGAGAGGGCGTTCTCCTGCTCACTTCCCCCCCTCGCTCGCCGCCGAGATGAGAAGTTCGATCCAGAGACGCTATGGATCAAGGGTGGAAAAACCACCCGGACCGGACAAATGGCGTTTATTAAACAGCCCTGGGCGTTTATTAAACAGCCCTGCCCTGTTTGATTTCTTTTTCGGGCGCCGTTACTGGAAACGGCTTCGCGTGTCGGGGTGGTTATTATGGGGGTGGATGTTTCTGCCCTCTCATGTTTTGGGACGCTTGGAGGGCCGATCGAGGGCCGGTCCAGGGCCACTCCGGCCCCCGGCGTGCTCGCCCTCCTCCTCCTCCTCCTCCTCTTCTTCCTCCTCCTCCTCCCCCTCCTCCTCCTCCTCCTCCTCCTCCTCCTCCGGCGTGCTCGCCCGCCTCCTCCTCCTCCTCGAGAACTTCCTCGTGCTGCCCCCGGCGGACGCTCGCCGCCGAGATGGCCCGTGTGCCGCCCGTGTGCCGCCGTGCGGAATCGCAGAGGGAGCGGCGGCGAGGGCCGCCCCGTTCGCCCCGCTGGGGCCCTGCCCCCCAGGCAGTGCCCCAGAGTGGTGGGCCTGCCGTCCACCACCACCACCGCCACAAGCTGGGGGGGGGGGGAAAGAGGAGGAGGAGGAGGAGGAGGAGGACCCCCTCCCCCTCCTGCTTCTGGGTCGACCCCAAAGGGGGTCCAGTGACAAGGGGCTGGTGCAATAGATTTGGTGCAACAGATTTGTGGGGTTGCAATATAGATTTGAGGCGTGCAATACACTCCGGGGCGCGAAACAATGCAATACAATTCTCTGGCGCAATACATGTGCAATACGATTGCCCCAAATCTAATGCACCAACTCCTTTCAGCTAGACCCCCTTTTGGGTCACCCAAATACTCTTGGTGGTGGCGGTGGAAAAACAGGCCCACCGCAGAGCCCGTTCTCTCCGCGCCGTGCTTGTTTTTTGTTTCTGACAGTGCCGCGCCTCTCGCCCTCCCCCAGGTGCGGCGCGACCCGGCGGGCCGAGAGGCCGACCCTTCTCGATCTCCGCCGTCGGCCGCTGAAAACAGCGGACTCATTCGGAGCTCGTTTCGGGGACCTTCCTGGAGCCCCCCCTGACGGATCTGTTCGACTCCAGTTTGACCCCAGTGCGACTCAAGGTCGACTCAACTTCGACTCGAGTTCGACTCAGGTTCGACTCAGGGTCGACTCAGGTTCGACTCAGGGTCGACTCGAATCGGCGGACGTTCGATGCAGCTTCGACGCAAGAGTGGAGCGAGTTTCTCCAGGAAGGTCCCCAGAATGAGCATCCAGCTTCTCGATCTCCGCCGTCGGCCGCTGAAAGCAGCCGACCTAGACTGTACTGTGTCGGGCACCCAGCGTGGCGCCCGCGTCGACGAGGCAGGAACCAGCAGTACAGCGGAGGCCCATGCCGGGAAGCACCCTCCGCTTGTCTCCAGGGTGCCCCTGGGTTTCTTTTGGGTTTCTATGGTTTCGCCGTGGAGAGCGCGACGTTGCCACACCAAAAACCGATGGACGCCCCTGAGCTCTCAGGGTTGGGTTTCTTGTGAAGGCTTCTTGTGCACTGGCCCCCGCTGCACCCCGGTGCGCCTCGGCTGCCTCCCGCCTTCCGCCAACCCTCCGCGCGGGCGGGTGCCGCCGCGCCGCGGCACCAGCCGCGCGGAAGGTGCGGGAGGAGGATGCCGATGGCCCTCCCTCGCCTTATGATGTTCCAAGCTGTCTTAGCCCTGGCCACCAGGAAGAATTTCGAGCACCAAAGAAGGACCATGACTCGAGGGTTTTCACGTGTCGGGCCCTGGGAGACACTCGTCCGACCCTTTTTCGACCTTGTTTCGACGTTCTTTCGAGTCTTTTCCAGGTGCTCGACATTATTTCTGGGATGTTGTTTTTTTGGGAGCAACATACCCTCGTCCTTGCCTCTGTGCACACTTTCTCGAGGCCTCCCAGATGGGGTCGGAGGAGATGGGGTTGGAGCATCGCGCCGCAGCGCTGGTGCCTTTGACGGTGCGGCTCGATGCGGAGCCCGACGTTCTCCACGCCGACGTCGGCGATGCGTCGCCGACGTCGGCGATGCATCGCCGATGCGTCGCCGATGCGTCGGCGATGCGGCGCGATCCTCCGACCCCAACCATTCGGACTCCATCCAAGAGGCCCCTGAACACGTTGAGGTGGGCTGGCACCAGGAAGCAGATGGGCGTCCTCGCATGCAAGCTCGCGGTCCTTCGTCGACGCTGCAGTCGCTTCCTCGCTGCTGTGTCCAGCGATGCCTGAGGTGTGGTCAGGCGGGGTGCAGGGCCGTGCCTCGCATCGACATCCTGCCTCACCCTCCACACCTGCCAGCAGAGGGGTCCTGTGGGAAGCGGCCATGCCCCCAGCCTGTGTGAACGTCATGACTGGAGCCCCTCTCGCATCATGACCTGTACCCCGCAAGCGGTCACCTCATCGGTGTGTTCCCGGTCGTCGGCTTCGCAGCCGCTGCCCATGCCCCGCTTTCACGACCTGCGCTCTGCTTGCAATCATGACGTCCACCTCCTCGACGTCGTAGCCGTCGCCCCAGGTCGGGTAATGGATTAACCTTGTGTCGAGTTCCATGACAACCAGCCTCATCCCCCCGTGGCATGACGTTGCCTGTGGGCTCCATCCAGCCAATAGACCGCACCCCCCTCCTGGTCATGACTTTTCCGCACCTGTGAGACCTTCGGCAGTCCCCCGGCAGTATCTAGACGCAGAACCAATGCGTGAGGCGAAGCGAAGCAAGTCTTCAAGTCTTGTACATATGCAGCATACGCTTAACATGCACATTTTGCATATGTACATGTGGCATTTGCGTACACGTGTAAGTATGCATGTACACATACATACAGGGACCATCTACATATACATACGTATACATATGCATATACGCATCACTTTGACTTGATATTGCCATGTGCACGTGCATGTGTATGTTCATGTACGTTCGCATTTTGATGTTTCGTGCGTATGTGCAGTCTCATTTTTTCACGTTGACATGTTAGTATCCATGCGCAGTTACATTCACATTACGGATCCATAATCATAAAAACGCATGCATACAGCTGAAGCAGACATGTACACACGCACATATAACGGTACACATGCATATACATATTGAAACATCCATGACACATGAAGCACTCATCTGTACATATGCATACATATGAAGCATATATGTACATGCATTCATGTGTGCACATACATGTGTGTGCGTGCACCGTCCGCACCGCGCCATGGCCGACCCCGTCGCCTGGTGGCCGCGCGGGTTTGCGCCCAAACTTCTGATTTCTGCGAGCGGCCGGAGAGGACAACCCCTTGTCCTGCTCCAGACGGGCTCCCATCGCGCTGACAGGTACTGTTTGCATTCCGCCGACGGCTCTTGTTTCCGCCTTTCGAGACACATGGACGCCTCCGGCCCTTATTGTACTAACCACTTTTCGTTCGGCTTCCGTCCCCTTCGATCCTCGATCCTCGATTTTTCCTTATCTCATCCTCCATCCTTGATCCTCCTTGATCCAAGCGTCCAAGGCTTGCCAAGGGGGGGCGAGGGTGGAATGGCACTTGTGGATTGAATATTTGTCCCAGGTACGAGCCGTACTCCTCGCCCGCGAAGTCGCTCCCCACGCTGGTGCTGCAGGCTGCCGCCGCTGGCTCCTCACTTCCCCTCTTTCTTTCTCCCCTTTCCCTCTACCTTCCTCCATGCCCTTTCCCCTTCTTCGCCCCCCTTGTCTTTGCACATGTTCAGTACGAGTGCTGCTAGCTTCCTTTCTCCCCCAGAGATGGCCAGGGAATGGCCTGCCACCTTCATGTTCTGGTTTGCTTGTTGCTGTTGTTGTCGTTGCTGCTAACGTTGTTTATGTAATTGTTGCTGTTGTTGTTGCGGCTGTTGTTGTTGATGTTGTTGTTTTTCTTGTTGCTGTTGTTGTTGTTGTTGTTGTTGTTGTTGTTGTTGTTGCGCTTGCTGTTATTATTGCTGTTGTGTATGCATTTCTAGAGAATGATTATTGCTGATCTCTGGAAACGGTTCCGCGTGCCCTCGCCTCGACGCCGGTTGCGATTCCTTTAAAAACGAGGGTGCCGCTCGAGCGCGGGCTTGACAGTGAATGTGTGTTCTTGGAGGCCCGGCTGCAACGGTAACAGCTCTCGCTCGATCCGTCCTCACAGTTCACCCCGAGACAGCCTGGCCAGACAGGCCCCCGAAACCAGGAACGGCGCTCTCGCTCGAGAGTTCTCGCAACTCAGTCAAGTTGGCGAAGGCCCAGCCACGACGACAAGGGCTCCTGCTATATACGGCCTCACGATTTACTCCGAGCCCCTAGTCAGGAAGCCTCCCGTACTCAGAAACGGCGCCCTCGCTCGAGAGTTTCTCGGGATTCAGTCAAATTTGTGGAGACCCAACTACGACGACAAGTGCCCTCGTTCGATACTTCTTCAAAAAGTATTCGCAGAGGCCCTTGCCAGAGAGGCGCCCAAGCTCAAGAGTGGCGCTCTCGCTCGAGACTTTCTCGTAATTCAGGCAAGTTGGTGGAGGCCCAGACACGGCGACAAGAGTTCCCGTTCGATATTTCTCAATATGTATTCCGAGAGCCCCTGGCGAGAGAGGCCCCCGAATTCAGGAACGGTGTTCTTTCTCGAGATTTCCTCGCACTTCAGTCCGCAGCCGACAAGGAAGATATTCCCCCCGCAATGGGGTGCGATCGAAGACGAAGTAGGCGGGTATCGACACGCGTGCCAGTAAAGCGAACAGTATTTAAATGGTTGATGCCGTTATTGTTGTTGTTGTTGTTGTTGTTGTTGTTGTTGCTTTGTGTGCTTTTTTGCTTCTGGTTCTGTTTTTTTCTTATTGTTTTTCTGTTTTTTTGTTCTCTGCTTTTTATTTCTTTTTTTTTTTTTTGTTGTTGTTGTTGTTGTTGTTGTTGCTGCTGTTGCTGTTGCTGTTGCTGTTGTTGTGGTTGTTGTTGTTGTTGGTGTTGCTGTTGTTGTTATTGTTGTTGTTATTGGTGTTGTTGGTGTTGTTGGTGTTGTTGTTGATGTTGTTGTTGTTGTTATTGTTGTTGTTGTCGGTGTTGTCGTTGTTCCCAACCATCCTGTGGTGTTGGGTCCTCATGTTGAAGAGACGGTGCCCCGCGTTCTCCTCTTTCCTCCTTCCTCCTCCTCCTCCTCCTCCTCCTCCTCCTCCTCCCTCCTGCTTCCCATCCTTGCCTCTGCTCTCCGCATGCCCATCCCACTTCGGCGAACCCCTCACAGGGTCCGTGGCCCCATACGGAGCTTCACTGAATGCCCCAGTGGCAGAGTTCGCATGCAGTCACCCTCATTTCGGCACACCCCTCACAGGGTTCGTGGCCCCATAGGGAGCTCCACCGAAGGCCCCAGTGGCAGCGTTCGCATGCAGTTCCACTTTTATTTCGGCGCACCACTCACAGGGTTCGTGGCCCTATAGGGAGCCCCACCGAAGGCCCAAGTGACAGCGTTCGCATGCAGTTCCACCCTTATTTCGGCGCACCCCTCACAGGGTTCGTGGCCCCCATAGGGAACTCCACCGAAGGCCCCATTGGCAGCGATCGCACGCAGTTCCACCCTCATCGCGGCGCCCCCCCTCACAGGGTTCGCGGCCCCATAGGGAGCTCCACCGAAGGCCCCAATGGCAAAGTTCGCATGCAGTTCCACCTTCATTCGGGCGCACCCCTCACAGGGTTCGTGGCTCCATAGGGAGCTTCACCGAAGGCCCTAGTGACAGCGTTCGCATGCAGTTCCACCCTGATTGCGGCGCACCCCTCACAGGGTTCGTGGCCCCATAGGGAGCTTCACTGAATGTCCCAGTGGCAGAGTTCGCATGCAGTCACCCTCATCTCGGCGCACCCCTCACAGGGTTCGTGGCCCCATAGGGAGCACCACCGAAGGCCCAAGTGACAGCGTTCGCATGCAGTTCCATCCTCAGTGCGGCGCACCCCTCACAGGGTTCGTGGCCCCATAGGGAGCTCCACCGACGGCCCCAGTGGCAGCTTTCGCATGCAGTTCCACCCTCATTGCGGCGCACCCCTCACAGGGTTCGTGGCTCCATAGGGAGCTTCACCGAAGGCCACAGTGGCAGAGTTCGCATGCAGTTCCACCTTTACTTCGGCGCACCCCTCACAGGGTTCGTGGCACCAAATGCCCCAGTGGCAGCGTTCGCATGCATTTCCACCCTCATTTCGGCGTACCACTCACAGGGTCCGTGGCCCCATAGGGAACTCCACCGAAGGCCCCATGCAGTTCCACGCCCGTGTCGGCGCACCCCTCAAAAGGTTCGTGGCCCCACATGGAACTCCACCGAAGACGGTTCTCGCACGTGCGGCTGTCACCTATGCATATGGTTGGGTCTTCGCCAGGTTGATTGTTGTTGTGGTTGTTGGTGTTGATGTTGTTGCTGTTGTCGTTGTTGCTGTTGATGGTGGTGGTGTTGTTTGAGAAGTGAGTCGTATACAGAATTGAAAATCCTCATAATTGCCGTTTTACTTAGTTTTTTGTTATTTTTTTGTCTTGGTCTCCTTTGGGCGCTCTTTGGGTTCGTGGGCCCGCGGCTCATCCTAAAGCGCGCCTGGTTTGTGGGCCAGAGGCGTCTTCGAAGCGTGGTGGTTTCTCGGGGTGCATATGGGACGTTTACTTGGGTGCCTGCTTGTACGTCAGGGCTCTTCAGGGTTCATCTGCCTTCCTCAGGATGTATCAGAGTTCGGTTTTTAGGGACTGACCCAGGTGTTCTTAGTTTTCCCTTCAACTTCTTCAGGATTCCAGGATGTCTAAATATTCAATCGGATTCTGCATGTTGTGGGGAGGGTGTTTTGGGGAGGGGGTGTCTTGGGGTGTCTGGGGGTGCCCACACTTTCCTCACGCGCCCGTCGTGCCCTTTGGGTGGGCGCGGTCGTCTTCGCCCGCCTCGCGGGAGGAGACGGCAGCCCAAGGGGCGGTGCTCCTGGGGTGGGCCAAGCCGTCTTCCCCCGAAGCACAGGGGGGGGACGGCCTAGCCCTGGGGACACCAGCGGGTTGACAACGACACCAACACATACATGATGAATGTTTCGGGTGTATTGTGGCCTCAGGCGTCTTGGGTTCATGGGGGCCGTAGGCGTCTCTGGGGGGTGGGGTGTCTTGGGGCCATGGGCGTCCTGGATTGTCTCGGGTGCCCTGTGTGCCTTGGGGCTATGGGCTCCTGGGGGTGTCTTGGGGCAATGGGCGTCATGGGGTTTTAATGTTGTTCCGTAGCCAGTTTCGCTTAGGCCAACAGAAGGGCTTTTTTTTTTTCTTTTTTTTTTTTTTTTTTTTTATTTTTTTTTTTGTGTTTTTCTTTTTTTTTTTTATTTTAGTTTGTCTTTTTTTTTTTTTTTTTTTTTATTTTCTTTTTTTTTTTTTTTTTTTTTCTTTTTTCTTTTTTTTTTTTCTTGTTTTTTTTTTTTTTTGTTATTTTCTCGGTTCGACTAGCTCTTGCACGCTGCTATGCCCAGGCAGCCGCAGTCCGCATTCGAGCAGATCATCCAGGACACCGTGACCGTGCTCCCTCCCACGCCTGTGATGGACGAGCGCTGCAGGACGCCGTCTCCAGCGCCGTCCAGCGCGAGCCTGAGCAGTCGGGGCAGCCGAAACAGCCGTCTCAGCACCCGTCTCGCAGCCGCTACAGGCGCTGATGTGCCAGCAGATCAGCTCCCAGCTCATGACAGCCGTATCCTACCTGATGTGCCAGTAGATCAGCTCCCAGCGCATGCTTCAACAATGGCGCAGGTTAAGTACAGCGAGTGGTTGTAGGAGCAGCAGAGGACGCTTGCGGAGCTGACCTGGATGCAGCGGCCACGTGACGTTAGCATCATCATCCCCCTTGGAGGCGGCAGCGTGCACGTCGGCTTTGACTACAACGGCATAGCGACGCACTGGTGGATCTGAGAGCGCGCCAATAGCCACCACAGCAGAGCGGACGCGCCAGTTGGCGGATTGCGGCTCAGGAGAGAGACAAGTCTCTCCCCCCTCTCCCTCGCTTCCCCCCGACTCCCTCCTCCTCCTGGGGTGTCTTGGGGTGTCTTGCATGTCTTGGGTGGATGTCTTGGGGTGTCTTGGGGAGGGGTTGTCTTGGGGTGCCTTGGGGGCGTCTTGGAGTGTTTCGGGTATCTTGAGGTGTCTTGGGGAGGGGGAGAGCTTGGAGTGTCTTGGAGTGTCTTTGCATTACAGATCGCACACGAGCTTATATTAAGTTGAAGGCACGACATAAGCTGCACTAAATGTAATACGACAGAAACGACGCTAAATCTGCCACTACAGTACGCGCCAAACGAATACACTACATTACAACACGATGCGAATACACAACGCTAACACGCTAATATAGTACACAATACATTTGCACGGCGCCAATGCACTACACGAACCTATTGCGTAATCAACCTGCGCTACTACACGACGCGCCGGCCCTACGTTATTACGGCAGCTAATGGTACACCGCTACGCGACACTTACTTAATTAATGCGCGACACTGAGCACGCGATGTTTAGTACGCGACACTTTACGACGCGCTGCCTAGTCCACGACGCTGGTGCCGTCTTGGGGCAATCTGGGGCCTCTCGCGGGGCTCTCTTTGGCCACCCCCAGGCCTCCTTGAGGCATTGGCAAGCTGA